CGGGAAAAATAAAGTTGCACGCAAATGTAAGTGTGTAATTTTCATATTTTCTTCAGGTGCCCCAGAGGTTTATACAACCCCTCTACGCATGCCACCAGCTCCCATGGTCCTCATCAGCTGCTGCACCAGTGTAACAATTCTTTCCAGCTGGATAATGAACTGGGTTAACAAACTGACCCATGCTGCTGACTTGCCCCCACCCCCACCCCCTGGTTATTATTTTCAATCCACACCAGTTCACGACCACAGGCACAACAGAACAACTGGGAGGAGGCAGCAACATAAGAATGCCTCTGGGAATAACGGGACACAGGAATGAGCAGCCAGCGACATTCTGTCTAAAACCTATATAAAAGAAATTACTGTGAAAGCGTGGCCTAAGATTACTCGTCAACACTCTTCCTACCATCTCCATTGCCTTTCATTGTGTATGTTCTCCATTCTGAAATAACCATGCAGTCTTCCACCAGGGACCCCAAAACACCAGCCTAAACCAGAATATGCCATGTTTCACTATTCAGGACCATTTAGTTTCTTCTCCTTTTTTTCAAGGAGTAGTGAATTTAGTTTTATTCTTTAAAATGGGGCAACATCTAAAATGGCTCATATATAATTTCCACAATACTCTTCACTAAAAAAAAAAAGTAAATGTTGTATTTGCAAAACACATTCTAATACTAAGGAACATCTTTAGAGATTTAATCTGTTCTCCTTTAGTCATGCTAGATGACAAGTGCAACTAAGTACTTCACCCACTACTGTTAATCTATTTTCCTCAGATTTCTAGAAAACCAATTCAAAAAACCTAGCACACATCCAATCCAGGCACATTATCCATCTAAGAGATCGGAAACAGGATGTCCATCTCAGCATGTATATTGTCCACTATAATTTAGACGTTCTTCAAATTGCATTTGTATCCAGGAGGGTAATAGCCCTTACATTAAAAAAGCCCTTCATTAAGTGGCTCCCCGTCACGCAGCCCATTACGGGCTCTCATACCCCAAACCCTGCATAGCCTCGGAATAATGTTGCTTTTAAGAGGCAAACCAAACAGGGTAAATAAACTATCCTCTCTATCTAAGGGTAAAAACATCAGTAAATGTACTGTTAATATGGATAAAACCACCCCTTCACACATCTCCAGTGATATACGAAAGCATTATTATTCAAGTCTTCTGCAAAACACAGTTATCCACACGTAATGAATAGTCCCCTAAAATAACTGGGAAAAATCCATAGCCAAAAAACATAATGCATGGTCTAAAGGGTTTGCTTCAACATATAGAAGATGTCTTTCTTCAGAGGTACAAAGACCAACAGGTAAATACTTTGACTTCATTTTTGTCACCAAGTCTACAAAAATAGAATACTTGGCCACCAACACTGCCTCACACAAAACGCAAATCCACACTGGTGGAATCCATGCTACCTAAAGAACTCAATAGTCTTGGGCCATTCAAACTAGAATGATATCAGGACAAGAGTGCGCATTTTATTTAAAAAGTATTTAAAAATCCTGAATGGGTTGAAGCAGGTGATTAGCAATCAGCTTTGCTCACTTCCTCTTACAGTACAAGAGGCCAACATGTATCAAACAGAAATCACGTGCAAGTTCAAAATAAGCAAATAAGCTGTGTCTTCCCATGATTTGTAGCAAATGCCAGCACTCTGTTATAGGAAAGAGCAGATACTAGAAGTCCTCCAGGAGCCCGCAGACAGCAAGACAAAGCTCACAGAAAGACATGAATTCATTGAGAACATCATGAATAAAGACCATTTCTGGTTGAGGAAATTCCTAAATGCCAAACAGCTGGAAACTGGGAGAGCGTTCAGGGCATGATCACTACTCATTTGTCTTACCTCTGCGTTCTTCCCTAGGCAACTGCTAATGGCTGCTCTCAAAACCAGCAGACCTTTAGCTTCATCTAACACAGTGGCTTTTATGTGCTTTTAGAAACCTAATGTTGGACATCAGGTGTTTTCCAAGGTTTTAATAAGTAATCTCCAAAGGTTTTATCATGTAAGCTGCAGTTCAAACAATTTACAAGTTGGTATTTAAAGCTGTACACAAGTACCTGCTCAAAGTGTTCACTTTATTTTGAAATTAATCATTATATACTGCATTTATTTTTCCCGTAACAGAAGATAAGTGGCTTTTACCTTTGCTCATAATTTGAGAAATACAATTTAGGTCAGTATAAAAAAAATCTGAAGTTGCATTAATTATTCAGAGGTAATTACACTTGCCTTACCAATACTGTTTACTATTGCTATACCTGCAAAATGCTTTGCATTATGACAAGTTTTCACATTTTCATAGTACTCCAATCAATCTAGCATGTGCCATTAGGTCTGAAATTTCCCATGATTTATCCTTCTCCACAGCACAACATTAAGTTAGATCTCTCCCTTGAATCAAAAGTAAAACACTCAATTGTCACATGTTCCCCTTTTCCTTTTCCTGTTTATGTCCTTTTGCCTCTTCTTTTCTTTTTTTTTTTTTTCCCTGTTTTTAAAATAGGACTTTCTGAAGCTACTGAAGACTAAAAATTGACATTTTAAAATTGAGTATAATCCTTCATGACTACAGTGGTTCTGGGTGAATCTGGTAAAGTTAGAGCCCCAAAAGCCACATACTCAAGGTTTAATCTTTTAACATACTGGTAAATAGTGCTCCTTCTGAGACAAAGCTGTACTGGAATACATATTCCCCTTACTACAGCCAAGCCCAGAACATTGTATTGGATTCCAGAGAGGTGTAAGAGACAAGGGCTCCAAACACTACAAAGGGCATCCATAGAGAAAATGTCAACACATGCATTAAGGAACTTTGCACCTAGCTGAAGGATTATAGAGCCTGAGAAGAAGAGATGGCGAGAAAACAATCCTTATCCTTGCACTTCAGTTTCTGCACTGCTCAGCTTTTCTGGACACCCCTTCTCTTCTCTGACTGAGCAGAAAAAAGTGGGCTGACTCACGTCCCTAGGAGATGCCTGGCTTCTACAGGTTAGAAAACTCAGCACTTTCCAAAGTGAAAACAGCAGTAGTTTAATTTTACCTATACCTTCATTACCGCAACTTATTCTACTTGGATAACTTCTTCACGAGCAGTAGACTGCTTTCTAACCTACAGTTTCAACAGCAATCAGGCAGGGTCAGCAATGTTAAAAAACTGAACGGCAGATGATTGCACACAGTTATTTCCCTCCTGCTTTTGCTTCAACCTCTTGCTGCTCCACTTCCTGCAGACCCACCGGAGGAATTCAGTGCTCATTTTTTGAACTGTGTTACATTCTTAGACTTAATTTAAAATGTTGATATTTCAAATGCAAAAGAGCTTAAGTATTTAGATACACCATAGATCCTCAGAATCTGAAGACTGATCATCAGATGATACTGCCCACTTTAAGTCTGGATCTCAATTACCAAACATCAAACTTTTAAACAGTGGTCCAAGAAGTGTAGAATTCTAAGCAGAGGAAGAAAAAAAATAATAATCAGAGTTTCTTCTGTATCTCTTTTGACTATCTCTGAAACATTACTTTATTCTCCTAGATTTTACTGAGCAGCCACAATTTCACATACAGATGTGAAAAAAGAACTTCCTCCAGAGGAGTCCACATGCTGCACTCAGGAAAGGGGTCTGTAGCAGAACTGAACAGAAATCAGGTGCCAAAGTCAGAGAGCACTGTATCATTTAACTCTGAAAACTGCCTAAGGATTACAGACAGGTAGGTTATTTGGGAGAAGCAAGAAGCAGCTATCTTTGTCATTTAGATTCATTCAAAATACATTTCCTCAAATTGCTTTCTTCCTATACAAAGTCTGAGAATAACACATGTTTTAGAAAGTGGTACTTCCAATATAATTAAAATACCTCCACCATTCTAACAAACCACCTAGACTCTGAAAAACACAAACTGAAAAGTAACTAATTTCCGCCATCCTAGGGAGATATTGTTTTGTATTTGTTAATGCCAGACCATCAGTATCATGAATTCCGAGGCTTCAGGGCTTAAATTTAGTCTTCCATATGCAAACATGAAGCATCAAACAGTCCATTAAGTAAAGTGCGGATCTTGCTTAACCTATTTTGTAAGATACAGGGCATGGTAACAGCTGCTCATATCAGTGCCTCCAAAGCAGGGGGAACGCAGCTAGTTCACAGTTAAGAAGTAAAATTACATACACTAACCACCATTAATAATGCACAACAATATATAAAAAGCAGGGGAAGGAATGGTGCAGAGGTTAGGTTACTTCTGTGTGGCAACATTTCCCACTCCTTCTCCACACATACCTCACTTCACAAAACCTTTTAGATACAAATAAAATAGCCATGACCTTTTTTCCTCCTCTGCATGATTAATTACTTAACGTACTATTAATTGGAAAATGTAGCTGAAATTCAAATGCTTTCATTTTCTCAGCATATCATGCTGTCTGGGAAGTGCCGATTAAGCTGTTCATCAAAGGTGAGCAGGCAAGGTCATGTAGGCTGTACCTCTTCAGTTATTCATTACCTGTCCTAAATAGTAATTAACAACGGCAATATTTCCATAAATCAAAGCTTTTCTGATTACAGAAAATTCAGATGATGAGCAGTTGGGGGGAGAGGAGGGAAGGAATCAGTGTATGGGTTTTTGCACATATCCTTTTTTTCACCATTTGTTCTAATGCATACCTGAATAATTCAATCAATACATTAGCTGTCATTTAAGATGTAGAATTTCACTGTGAGTCAACAGGAATTCCACACAGAATAAGGAAGAGGTTATGGCTTCCTTTCTCCTTTCCCCCCTAACTTTAAAGGGGGGGTTGATCTAAGAAGGTTTCTCAATTACCAAGATTGTTATATTTATTATTTGTGTTTCTTGTTATTACTTCCATTATCAAGGTAAAGAGAAGATCACAAAGTATGCCCTTGAGGCCATATGCAGTGAGGCCCTGAGTCAACAGAGAAACTTATCCCTTCAATATCTGGAGAGGGTTCTCACCTTGAGGCATCTCGGGCGGCAAATAGTGAGGCTCTTGAGCACTGACATGTACCCAGTCGAAGTCATCATACAAGTCTTGGTGGTAGTCACAGGGTCCAGGACCATCATCGAACGTACATCCCCCTAGGGAAGAAACTTGTTATTAGTTTATTTAAAAGCAGAGATTTTCCAAGAGTCAAGCAGAGATGTTCCTCCAGGGCACACAACAGCTATGGAGCTCACGCAGCGTGTGGCACCGTTCACAGCCTTGCCCGTGCAAAGCTAAAACCCACAAGCAGATCATCCATCAGCATTCCCCTCTCTTTTCCGCACGTCTCTGCTTCACACAACCAACTTCCCAAGAGCACCTTCTGTCAGAGCAGGAGATCACAGGTTGAGTCACTGAGCCCAAGTGAAACCCGGCACAGCGTCTGCATGACAAAAAGCAACAGGCTATCTAAACCAAAGAGGAAACAGAAAATAATGGACTAGGCTCAAAAAGTAAAGGCGTAAATCAATAACTTCAACTCACTGAAAGCATAAATAGTCCAAACACCGACAACGAGGATAAATGGTGTGCCCAAAACAAAAGCAGTGGGACAAAATTATTAAAATTACTTAGAAATTAAATAATTGCTGCAGAATGAACTGGATAATCTTGCTTTATTAAATCAATCTAGCATAACAGAACACAAATTAGAGGTGCTTTTTCAGGGTCACACAAACAACGGTTATGAAAACCTTACAACAAAAGTTGTGAGGAGAAGCAACAGGAAGAAAGAATGGGAGGAATGTGAAAGATGGGGGGGAAAAATAATCCCATGTAGCACAGTAATGTCTGCTCTGTGGCATTCAGTAAATTTTTTATTACATTCTTCACTCAAGGCAATTTAATAGGTTGGGAAAAACAGAGAGGAAGAAAACACAATGATTATGGGAAGAGATCAAGGTTTGAAACAGAAGAAACAAAGGAATCAAAAGAGCCTGGTTGGAGAAAAAGTAGAGCATAAAGACATACAACTTTGCAGCATCTGTTATATCCATTCATGATACACAGTCCTTGAGTTTGCTTCTCCTGCTCAAAAATAAAAGGCAAGAAGACCAGGAGACAGCAAAAGAGAAAACACAGTCCATTCACCTTTATTGAGGCAGTATTTTTTAATCCAGAAAAGAAGTTATATAAGAACTCAAGAATTAGATTATGAACAACTCCTAGAAATCAGAGGAGATATTTCTTGCATCCTCTCCTCCCTGTCCTCAGTAGTTAGGGCATAATCAATCCAATTAACAACTGTGATTACAACAAAAATTCCTCTTGTTAAGACAACACCTCTAGATGACTTCATTGTCTGACATTTTGAATACAAAATATGGGACAAGTACTGCAGGTCCCAAGAACAAACAAACAAACAAAAAGATCTTTACTATGGTAAATTCTAGTGTCACTGTACGATGAGTCACCACCACCCCATCAACAGAGAACACCCTCCCATGCCTGCCAGGCTGTCACCAGCCCACACTACACCCCAGAGGAGAACGGGCTGGAGGTAGGAAAGGGGGAGAATGAGGACCATGAAGAACTACAGTCTGTGCTCATTTCTGCTCTCTGTACAAGACGCACATGGCCTGGAACCAGGACTGGACAGAGAATAGGAAAGGAGGACTGGGCATGTATGTCACCAAATTTGGGATTAAAATATTTTTACGTACCTAAAATGGAGTATTCAAATGTCACATAACAGGAAGAAAGTCTGCAAAAACAGTGTTTATATTTGAGGAAGGGGAAGTCTCTTTTACTAAATTTCATCAGAAAATCTAGACTGTGTCCCAAACTGAGATTATATTTCATCTTCAGTAAGAGACAACTCAAATAATTCCCACATTTCTGCAGAGCTATTTGTCGTTTTGAATAAGTGACAACACAGCCTAAGTTTTAGCTAGTTGTACTTCACCGAGGATCGCTTGTTAACCAGTGCTTTGGCTGGCGAGGTCAACACCAGGAGAGAAAAACCCCTACACTGTAGTGAAATTCCTGCTAAATCCTTGTACCATAAAACCTTAAAATTTCATATTCAGCTCCATGTTAGCAAAACCTTCTCAAATGTTACACTGTGACAACAGAAGCACAACAACAAAACATCAATGTTTCATACTCAAGACTAAGTTGGTTACTACATCAGTGTCACTGTGAAAGACTGCAGGTGCAAGAAGAGAAGTATTTCTGCGTCAAAGAAACATCTATGCCTTTAAAAGTCCAGTTCAAATGCCCTATTACCACCGAGAGACTTTTCTAATTAACATCTATCATGATAAAGCCAGAAAGGTTTAGAACATAAATCTTGGTCTTTGATTTAACTTACAATGCACTGGTATGATCACTCTACAGCAAAAATGTACATTTCCTTCGACATTTAATTGATAAATGAATAGCAGTTTCCCTTAAAGGGAAGTTATCACTGTCTGCTGTCCCAGCACCATAATGACATATGGCTTTGAAGCACATGCCTACGGGGCACCCATTACCCTTTTTAATGGCTTAAGTGCCCTCAGTATATAAATTTAAACTACCATTGAATCTTGTAGACTCATTTGGAAGATGAATGTCCTTAATTGCTCGTCTTTGTGCCCACTATTAATTTTAGTTATCAGGGTTCTGATTAGCAATAACAACGCGTCTGTTAATACACAGCAAGCAATCCAAACCTCTTTGTGCATAGCACATCACTGCTACACCCACAGAGCAAGCAAATTCCCATTTATCGCATGCACATGAACAAAGTTTATCAGGATGGATTGTCAACCCATGACAAAATTCACCCTGTAACAACTGCCTAAACCAATGGTTTCCTCTCATGGAGCACACCTCCTCCTCTTACCAACTGATCACGACATTTCAAGACAAGTAAAGTAAAATCCAATGCTGTAGTGATTTATCCAGTACAACACAATGAGACAGGCTAAGCATTTTAACCCCCCCTGCAGACTACTCCTTCCGACTTAAAGCATGAGCAAATTTGGATCTCACCTTCTCTGTTTTAACAGTCAACTGCCTGTGTGCTGTTTTGGTAACTCTGGGTACTCAGAGACAAACCTAGTGTAACCCGCTGTGTGGGAAATACAAGAAGAGACAATGGGTGGGTGAAACCTGCAGTTTCCAGTCATTTGTTCAAAACTATATACGATTTAAATCAATCTTTAACCACTCAAACATAAAACCACATCTGACAGAAGTACACCATCGGTCAGGACTTGTTAGTCCCCTAACTCAGCTACTGGGCCACTCTCCACAATAATGTAACAACATTGTCCAGGGAAGAAGGTAGATGGGCTTGATGAATGTTTAGTACCTTCCAGTGAG